ACAGAAGAAGCGGAGCTCGTCTGTGTGGCAATGATGCCCCCCCCCCTACGTTTTCTTCAGGGTTAGCATTCCGTTCAGCTGGTAGCATGTTTGACTCTGGCGTTCTGCAGTCTAATGCATGGAGAAAGCAAATAGAGAAAAGTTTTTCTCCCTCGTAACACTCATGGACATCCAGTGAAGCTGAATGTTGGGAGATTCAGGACAGAGAAAAGGAAGTCCTTCCATCACAGAGTTCAGAGTTAAACTATGGAACTCACTCCCACAAGAGGCAGTGGCCACCAACCTAGATACCTTTATAAGAGGATTCGACAAATTCATGGATGAGGAGAAGGCTAGTCATGGTTACTAGCCATGATGGCTGTGCTCTACCTCTACAGTCAGAGGCAGCAATGCTTCTGAACACCAGTTGCTGAAAACCACAGGAGGGGAGAGTTGCTCTTGTACTCAGATACTGCTTGAGGGTCTCCACAGGCATCTGGATGGCCACTCTGCAAACAGGATGCTGAACTAGATGAGACCCTGGCCTGATCCAGCAGACTCTTATGTTTTTAAGATGCTAAATTTTCAGGTTGGTGTCCAGTGTTCCCGTTCCATTAATGCAAGGGACATGTGACAGTGGAATAGAACTTTCCTGTTCCCTCTGCTCCCCGTTGCACACCTTCACATAAGCTCTGGAGGGTTGGGAGGTGTCCTCCTGGGAAGATTTTGGGGTGCATGTGGGACACAGAATAAATGTAGGTGCTGCTGGGGTTGCTTTGGATACAACCGCAATTTTCTGCTTTTTCAACTGTTTGTGTGTATTCTAAATATTCCTTCTCTTTCTTTTCAGCATCCACTGCTTTCCTGGCAGACAGCCAGCCCCCAAATCGCAAAGCCCTGGCAGTCTACCCCATCTTCCTCTTCTATTTCGTCATCAGCTGGATGATCCTCACCTTTGCCCCATAGTGACACAAAATCAGTGGAGACCCCAAAGCTGAATGAAGGTGGCTTCTGTCTCTGTTAAGCCTCTCGGTTGCTGGCTTTCCCCAACGTCGCCCTCTAATTTATCTACCTGTATTTATGCTGTGTGTTGGACAAAGGCAGGACTGGTCCCCAGGAGTATGCTGAAGGTCCCTTTTGTGTTTCTGATTCCTCTGAGAATGCAACTGATGTCTGTCTGCTTACTCCTCTTATTGTAAATACCCACGAAAAGGCATTGTTGCCCTTTTTGAAGAATGCTGCTGATGCATAAGAAAGTAGAAATCCTGTCTCAATCCATCAAAGCTGTTGATAAAGGCAGATAGCAAAAGATACCCATCCATAACCAGCTTATCAGAACACTTGGCGCTTTGTCTTCTGTACATCAGGACATTTTCAAATGCTTGTTATCTGTTGATGGGAGAATGCTAGGAGAATGTTCCATTGAAGTTATGCAAAGTGATGCAATAGTTTATGCCAACCACGACACACCTTGTTGCCTCCAGAGACTATAGGACTACACCTCCCATCATCCCCTACCAGCACAGGCATGCTTACCGGGACTGATGGATATTGTAGACCAGCAACATCTGGAGGATGTTAGTTTAGCAAAGGCTTGTTTGTGTGGTCTTAGCACATCCATGATAGATTTGCCCCTGCCGCCCCTAATTCTTTGTGGAGGTGTGATGCAAGTCTAGTGGTTCCTTCCGTACAGAGAATTATCTCTCTCTTGAAATGCAAATATATTTTGAAGTGACTTCTGAAAAGAATGCTTGAGTTATGCTGTCTAGGTTACATTGTGTTGGGAGTACCATGTGTTAATTGCAACTTATTGGGCAGATTATACTTTTTCTAACTGCAAAAGAAAACCTACTACTGACCTTCCAGCAGAACTCAGGTTAACTGTTACCAATCTTGTGGACAAGGGACAGAAAAAATAAGCAAATAATATCAGTATGCTTTTCCCTTTCTTTCTTTCTTTCTTTCTTTCTTTCTTTCTTTCTTTCTTTCTTTCTCTCTCTCTCTCTCTCTGTGTGTGTGGGGGTGGCTAACAAGTCAGAAATTGACGGGGGAAAGCTGCCCAGTCTTATGTCCCAAGTGACCCAAGTGGTGTTAAATACCTTTTAATATGTCAGGACTTCAGCATTCAGAACACAGCCTGTGGGAGACTGGTTTCTTCTTCTTTTTCTTCTTCTTCTTTGCCTTTCCCCTTGGTTGAGAAGTAGGGATGTGGGGCAAGCAGTTCCCACATCCCATCTCCATTTAGAGCAGTTTTTATTTTGTTTTTTGTCATTTGCCTTAATAAACCTGAGAATTGTTATCCAAAAACACTAAATTTTAATATATGATCCATGTTTTCCTCTGCTTGCTGTCTTGCCATTTGCTGGAGGCAGGAAAATAAATCTCTACCCATCTTAATTGTAACTCCAGTCTTGTGTATAGCTCACTGCTGGTGTGTGTGTGTGTGTGTGCGCGCTTCAGTTGGGGAGCAAAAGGTGTAAATTGTTTTAATTGCAAACTTTTATAAATAAAAATGCTGAGAGAGTTGTTTGGAATCTATTCTGTGTCCCAAAGTTTGCCGAGTAAAAACAAAACAAAAACTTTCATTTTCAAATGTAGATCCTTAGCAACATCCAAACTTTTCTGTTTCAACTTTGAACCAACACTCCCAAATCAGGGGCAAGGTTCTGTCTTTTAAGGACCATAATTCGTAGAACAAGCAACATGACTAAGGTGTACTGAAGTATACTCAGAGTCGAGAGTGGATTTCATGCTCTTTATTCAGCTCATAGTGGTGAGGAGGAATGGAAGTTCCCCCACGATATCTGCTTTATATACATTATTTACACAATGGGCTACACGTGATTGGCTAATTCCGGGATTCTCCTGTAGGCCAATGAGGTGGTGGATTCACTTCCACCTGGAGCTGGATTGGGTGGCACCTTTGGACCAATCATACCGCTGCATTGCTCTAGGACCAATCAGACTGCTGCATTTTGGATCCTATTGTTCTAGGACCAATCAGACTGCTGCATTTTGGATCCTAGTCAACTCAGTACATAACATGTACAAAGTGTTTTTCAGACAGAATGAAGATATTTCAGTTGTGGGGCATGTTGGACGAGGAACATGGTGAATTGAATGTCTTTTGTTGGTGGGCTGCCAGTGGAAATCATTACATGGTGAATGATGACAGCCAGACATAAATCTTGGCGATTAAATTTACTCTGGAAAAAAGAGTGAATGGGAGGCTCTGGAAAAGCCACTTTCTGTTTCAAGAAGCTGAAAAGCTGTCAGCTCTTGGGAATTCTGATGGGGGTTAAGTGATTTGCGAGCTGAGGAATCAGCACCTTGGACCCAAAGCCGTGTAAGCCCTAAAGGGCATGGGATCTACAAAAGTCTCCCTTAATTATTTCTGAGCCTTATGATTTATAACAAAAAGATATGGAACTGCTGGTGGAAATTTACATTTGATGCTTGAACTGCTTTCTGCCTTCAAGAAGAAAGGAAGGGAAGGCAGAAGAAAAAAGCCTACTTTAATGGTTTGAGTCAAGGAAGTTTTAAATGAACATGCAAGTTCTGTGTGCTAAGAATTTTTATTTTCTTACTGAAATTTCAAAAAGAATACACAAAAGAATATGCAATATATTTTTTAATCAAATATAAAAAACTAATCCAAATAAAAACTCAAAAAAAGAAAGATGAGAGAGCTTTTGATTCTTTGTCTGTCAGCTATATATAAAAAATGTTGAAGCATCCACTCCAAGATAACACCCCAAATTCCACTTTCTATAAACCAATATTTTCTTCAATTATCAAACCCATGTAAGTTCATTTTCTTTTTTACACAAAGTCTATAAGAAGTTTCCAGCCTAGTAAATGTAGACAATTATTTTTCTCTGAGCAAACACATGAATTCCACCATCTCAGCTAAGTCCAGTAATTTCAACAACCGTTCATCCACTGTAGGTAATGATGAATCTTTCCATCTTTGTGCATATGAAAGTCTTAGCACTGTGATCGTGTATTGAAATAAAGATCCATAGTCTCTTTCTAATTGTTTATCTAAGTCCCAGCAGGAAAATTGCCCTTCAAATCCTCCGTATCAGTGTAGGTATTTGTATTCAATAGTTTTTAGCTTTTTTACATGTCCACCAAGATTCAGTTAACTGTTTTTTAGGCAGGAATTCACATTGATCATGAGTAAAATCTTGTAAAAAAAGGAAAATACTGACAGGGGGCCATGAGCCAGAGGCTTGCTGAGGCCGCTCAAGAAAGCTTCCCTGCGTGTCAGCTGAGCAGCCTCAACAAAACACTGAGGAGACCCACCCTGATCCCAAAGAGGATGTCCTCTTTGGAAAATGGAAAGGGTCTCCTCATGAGCCAGGAGGGCTCTCCAGGGTGCTACCCACATTTGAGCGAAGATTATCTTGTAATCTTTCCCCAGCCCATGCAGCAGACTGAAAACTACAGGCTGAAAAAGTGGCCTTCAGGCTATCTAGTGAATCTGTGTTGGGATATTTGAACTCAGGACTTTGCAATTCACAGCACAGCCGGATTCTTGTAATGGGAATCCTCTCCTTGCAACACAGAAACCAAAAGATAACCTGGAATAACTACACAGCTACATAAAGCTGGATCCGACTGAACCTAGCGCCTGGACCTGATGTAGAGTTGGCACTTAATATATGCCACATGCTGGTCTTCCCTTCAGACAAAACCCAAAGGAGAATCCACACAACTGTGTGTACAAATTCTCAGTCCCATTCCCCAATGCTGTCTTAAATCAGGCTGAAGACAAAGGATTTCCCAAGGAGCCTGCAAAGGATGGCCTAGTGCGTAGGGTAGTCTGATCACACTTCCCCCACCCTAAGCTCCGGCCCACTTTTCAGCCTTCTGCAATGACATCATCTTCCATCATCCAATTCTGATTCTAAGATTCTCCTGGCCCCTTCCTCAGCATCTGCAGGGTTGCCATAGAGATGGCAACAAACTTTTTTTTTGCATCATCATAATTCCGTTGTCTACTTCTTACCGGACGCTTCCTTGGTAAGCATTGGTGAGACAAGCCTAATGACCCACAATACAGTTTCACCCCTGTATAAAGGGAACGTCCTCTTTTCATCATGGCAGGTAGGAAATTGAGTTATCTAGGTGCTTAGAAGGGACCCTCCATTGTCCCAGGGGGCTAGAGAGAATCTGAGAAGCAAGCAGTGAGATTGAGGGTTTGCATCTAGGGAACAGGTGAAGTCTTTGGGGAACGTATACCTGAATACATGAAAACTGGGATAGACAAGAGAAAGGGGTTTTGGTTCAAAAGCTGAAGGGCACAATCTACCCAAATTAGTCACAGCTAAGTCCTAGGGTAGGGATGCGGGTGGTGCTGTGGATTAAACCACAGAGCCTAGGACTTGCCGATCAGAAGGTCGGTGGTTCGAATTCCCTGCGATGGGGTGAGCTCCCATTGCTCGGTCCCTGCTCCTGCCAACCTAGCAGTTCGAAAGCACGTCAAACTGCAAGTAGATAAACAGATACCGCTCAGGTGGGAAGGTAAAAGCACAGCGTTTCCGTGTGCTGCTCTGGTTCGCCAGAAGCAGCTTTGTCATGCTGGCCACATGACCCGGAAGCTGTCTGCAGACAAACGCTGGCTCCCTCGGCCAATAAAGCGAGATGAGCGCCGCATTAGGTCATGACTGGACCTAATGGTCAGGGGTCCCTTTACCTTTACTAAGTCCTAGGGACACCCAACAGTGCTGAGGTTAGCCATCCCTAAGGCCTATTCCATGGATTTTGGTGGGCAATAGATGTTCCCACTAGGTCATAAGTACTTTCAAATGTGTGGGTTTATTTCATTTTACACAACAGCCAATGTGCATTTGTAGAACAGGCAAAAAGAAGAAGAGGAATGTGATACAGGTTCCCACCACTCTCAGGGGCCACTACCAGCTACTTTGGCACTCACTGATCCAATAGCCCAACTGCCCATTGCTTTGCATCCTCTTTTGCATCATAACATTCTCTGGCGGCGTAGAATCTTGGGGGTTATACTGTGGAGATGGTGGCAAACCAGTTCATACAACCGCAGTTTCCATGGGTGCCCCTCTTTTGGTTGCTGACTTGATTTGAGCCCTCAGTGTATGTTTCTTGGGACCAGTTTGCCTCCCAGCTCAGCTTGGACCATCTGTGCCCAGTCAGCCACTTCAATCTTTGGAACTGACATTCTTATGGGTGCCACATAATCACCATTCTGTCTTTGTAGGAGCTTCATCTATTAGTGTTGCAGTACCTACACTTTGGAATGCACCTAGAGCCGGTGTGATTGTAGTGGTTATAAGAGTGGGCTAGGACCTGGGAGAGACCAGGGTTCAAATCCTTGCTGAGCCATGAAGCTGATCTTGAACCAGCAAAAACGCTACCAAAAGGGAGTTGGGTGCTGCAATTCTTACTGTAACCAATCATCTTCACGTGTAGCAAAACCAAGCTGTAGAACTGGACTTAAGTGATCAGGTTTTAACTTAGCCACTCTTGTTTGGAAGTAAGACCCTCTTGAATTTAGCAGGCTTACTTCTGAGTAAACATCCATAGGATCAGGCCGCACAAAGCAATGGATGAGGAACAAATGTTTCTGCTCTAGAGAAAGGAGGAGATTGCAGGCTTCAATCTGTTGCTACTTGGAGAGAATAGTTTCATTTTAAGCTGAGCTGCCTCCCTTTTTTTGTCTGATCTGCCTCCCATTTCTCTCAGTCCCGCCTTTCTCTTGATAAAGTTGCAAGGGGAGAGAAATGGCACATAAACAATTGCCAGTTTGCATGTGATGCTCTTCCCAACCTCTTTTTTCATTTCCTGCCTCGAACCATAATGAGCAGACACCATGATGAGCAAAGGAACGGAGAGGCATCTCCCCACTTTTTTAGGTAAACAGCGAAAGGTATAGGGAATAGCGCAGGGTTAGCCTGACCCTTTAGCAAAGTGGGATTGGTACTTTTCCAGCAGGGTGGTGGTGGGAGATGAACACATTTTGCAAACGCTGCAAAAAGGAAGTTTGCTGCTGCAGTTCTTTTTATAACCAATCTTCTTCACATGTAGCAAAAATAAGCTTATAAATTAAGGATGCTGCACCCCTATTATGCTTACCTGGGAGAAAGTGCCACTGAACTCGGCTGTGCTTGCAACTGTAGACTTGCTTCTGTAGGGCTTGCTTCTGAGTAAACATGCATATGATCAGACTGCAAAAAGCAATGGACTCATTTAAACCCAAATGCCTGTGTGTATATATACTTCTCCCTTTGTGTAACATAGTGTTTATAGTGATATAGATGTATATATGAATGATGGGGTGGGGGGTGGGAGGGAGAGGGAGAGAGATGCATAACTGCTCTGAAGACCAGATCACCTGTTTTGCTACTTCTTTAGAAGAATAGACATGTATTCATTATTCCCAGAGAGGACGTACAGAATCTTAAAGGTTTCCATATATCTCTCTACTAGTAGCCTGTGTAGAAGGGATCTAAAACTGGGGTGGCTGTTACATCTATAGATGAGGTTGCCATTCTTTTTAGAAGCCTATATTCTAGCAAAGTTATCAGCCATTATTTGTATACAGTAACGAGTGGTTGAAAGTAAAAGTGGTAAGATTATGAAGCTGCTGTTGGGAATCTTAAAAAAAAAAGATGCATCAACAAACTGTTGTTCAAGGTCTTTATAAATGACTTGGATGAAGGAATTGAGAGGATGCTCATCAAATTTGTAGATGACACCAGACTGGGTGTCATCGCCAAACTAATGCCACAGAAGGCAGAATTGGGAATTCAAGATGACGTTAACAGATTGAAAAACTGGACCGAAACTAACAGAATGATTCCAAGAGGGACAAATGTAAGGTTCTACAATTAGGCAGGGATAACCAGATGCACAAATATACAACATGGGGGACACCTGGCTTACCCATGTGAAAAGGATCTAAGAGTCTTTAGTAGGCCACAATTTTAATATGAGTCAACAGTGTGATGAAGTAGCAAAAAATAAAAATAAATAAATGCTAAGGCTATTCTAGGCTGCATCAAGAGAAATATAGTGTCCAGATCAAGGGAAGTCATAGTACCACTCTATTCTGCTTTGGTGAGAACCCTCCTAAATTGTGTGCATTTCTGGGTGCCACAGTTTAAGAAGGATATTGACAAGCTGGAATGCGTGCAGAGGAAGGCAACCAAGATGATCAAGGGTCTGGAAGATATGTAGCCCCTGACCACAAATTAATCAATATCAGTCTGTTGGCCACCACCAGGGTGTGTAGAATCCATTTCCTTTGTCCCGTTGTTCATTTCTGTACAATATGGTTCAAAAGAATATTATCCGCTGAAAGTTTTAACTTTTTCTGCACACATAGTTATACAGTCCAGCGCTTTCTTCCATAACTTAGTAAGTACAGGGCACATAATGCCACTATACAAATCTGTTGTGTGTGACCCCATTTGGAATACTGTGCAACTGCTCTGGTCACCTCAGCTCAGAAAAGAGTTGGAAAAGGTTTGGAAATGATTGAGGGGGTGGAGCGACTCCCCCATGATGCAAAGTTGCTGCATTTGGGACTTTTTAGTTTAGAGAAAAGATAAGGAAAAGGTGACATGATCAAAGTTTCTGAAATAATGCACGGCATGGAGAAAGTGAACATAGAGAAGTTTTCCTCACTCTTTCATAACACTCGTGGACATCTGATGAATGTGGGAAGATTCAGTACAGATAAAAGAAAGGGTTTATTCATGCAGCGCATTGTTAAAACTGTAGAACTTGCTCCCACAGGAGGCAGTGATGGCCACCAACTTGGATGGCTTTAAAAGAGGATTAAATGGGGTTATAAAGGAAAATACCTTTGATGAAACCTGGTCTCCCTTTTTTCATACATAAGGAGAAAAGAAAGGAAAGCTCTTTCAGCAGCCTCACAAACCTGTCTGTGGAGAACCTATATGGACTGCCAATGCTGAGTACCTGAGGGCCCCGGTCCTGCCACTCTCCAACTGGCCCGGGGCAGCACCTGACAGGCCTCATAAGGACTGCTGCTGTGGCTGCTGCCCAGCAAGGACTGGGGTATTTTGAGGGAAGTTTTGTTGGGAGTTTTTGCTGTTGTCACTGATATTAACTGATATTACTTATACAGTGGTACCTCGGGTTAAGTACTTAATTCGTTCCGGAGGTCCGTTCTTAACCTGAAACTGTTCTTAACCTGAAGCACCACTTTAGCTAATGGGGCCTCCTGCTGCCGCCGCGCCGCCAGAGCACGATTTCTGTTCTCATCCTGAAGCAAAGTTCTTAACCCGAGGTACTATTTCTGCATTAGCTGAGTCTGTAACCTGAAGCGTATGTAACCTGAAGTGTATGTAACCCGAGGTACCACTGTATTAATTTTTGTATCTTTATTTTTATGTGGAAATTGTTCAGTTTGGCTATGTAGTTTGTATTGGTGACTTATTGTATTTTATTATTTGCTGGAAGCTACCCAGAGTGACTGGAGAAACCTAGCCAGATGGGCGGGGTATAAATAAAAATTATTATTATTTATTTATTTATTTATTTATTTATTAAGACCATGTAAGATGACACCACGGGCTTGGTGCTATGTTATTTTCTTTGCTGTGACTGTATTGCATAATAAATATTTTTTTAAAAAAATAAATGGAAAAAGAGGATTAGACAAAGTCATAGAAGAGGAGATGTCTTTTTACCGGTATATCTTGTAATGTATCTTCCTTTTGTCTTTCTTTCAGTGGTAGCCACTCAGACACATGAGGGGGACCAATCACATCACCCTCAGTTGGCAGCTGAAGGAAGCCACCTTGGGGGTTTGTTCCATCTGCCGGACGATCTCTTCAGTGACTGCCCTGAGATCAATAACCTGGTTGCATCCTTTGAGCCACTCTTTCCAGAATGTCTTTCCACACCTCTGGGTTCCAACGAGGCAAGTGAGGGGACATTCAGGGAAGCCCCAGGAAGCGATGAGGTGTTAGCCACAGCAACTGTAAGGCAGGAGGCAAGACCTAAATGTGACACTGCCAGTAAAAACCAACAGCAGAGTGAGGGGCAAATCAAAGATGATAGCAAGGTTCCTATTGTTACAGGAGCCAAGGGAATGTGTGTGGATACATTGGCAGGCCAGCCCTCAAGTCATTTCCCCAGGATCTCTGCAGAGCCAGAACTGAGGAAAGAGGGATTTGGAAAGAGCCGGAACACCGATCCAAAGTCTGTGGTGTCAAAGGCGCCAGACTCTACATTTTCTAACATAAAGGGGAAGAGGAAAGCCATTTTGACTGAAGACAAACTGGTGGGAAATTTCCCCAGAACAAGTCTAGAGTTGGAGGCGTGCGGCTCTTCCCAGCGTCTTCAAGAAGGGCTGAGCGCCAAGTGCTCTCGAGGAAGCCATCCCAGCCAGAAAAGCCAGGAAGAGAAATGCAAGGAGGAGAGAAAGATGCCTTGCCAAGACTTTCTGAGAAAGGGGAAGGCAAAAACCATTGGGCTCCAGCAGGAAGCTTTAAGAATGGGTGAGGACATGCTGAACAGCAGCAAATCCAAGACAGCAAAAAATGATTCCAAGCCGGGGGGAAATCTTGGAGAAACTAAGAGTAGAGAGAAGGCCCAAGCTAAAGGGAACCTGGCTGGGGTAAAGGGAGAAAAGAATGAGGTGCCCTCAAAGGCGGTCCCCAGAACCAACCTGGCTTTGCAGATGATAGAGTCTGTGCGAGTCTTCCATCCCCTGGGCAAGAAGAAGCACATAATCTCCATGCCTACTAAAAAGTCTGTGCAAGTCTTCCATCCCCTGGGCAAGAAGAAGAACATAATCTCCATGCCTGCTAAAAACATCTCTCCACTAAATTCTGCCAACAGCAGTTTTGCAAAGACAGAGGCCGCATTGGAAAGACCTATGCTGAAGATATCACAAAAGCTCAGGCTGGCCCCCCTGGCTCCGCTAAGGCTAGTGTCCACCGCCTTGCCAAAGCCCCAGCCAAAGCTGGCAGCCACTCCATTGCCAGAGTCACCACCAGCACCCTCCCCCCTGTCAAAGTCACCTCCAGCGCCTGCCCCACTGACAAGGCAGCAGGCAGATTTGTCACCTGCAAAACCTCCAACCTCTGTGTGGAATCTGCTGCCAGAAACATCCACTTCCTCTGAAGGAGTGCCATCATCTCCTCGGGGTTGCCCAGCCAGGGAGTGGGCAGTGCAGTCCAGTGTCCCTGCAGAAGGACCTGATCCCCCGATCCAGCTAGCCACGCCAGCTGCAAACCCTTGGTGGCTCTGCAATGTCTACCCACTTGCAATGAAGCTAGTGAAGCCTGCACTACCTGGGCAATCTGTGTCTCCACCACAGGGAGATCCAAAGCTTATCACACAGAGGAGGACCCCAGGAAGCCCAGAAGAGTCACTACCAGTAATGGAAGAGCAGCAATGTGCTGAGGAGGTGAGGGAGAGAAAAGCTGAGGGAAACTCCAGCCCCAGGGAAGGACTTTTGGATATGGGAAAAGAGGAGGAAGATTATCTCTTTTAGACATAAGCAAAATTATTGTGCCCAGTTTTAACATGTGCTATCCTGAGAGCTCTTAGAAATGCTTTGGTGATCTATCATATCCTTGGACAACAACTAAGAAGTGGACAGGAACTGAATGTTATCCAGATCTTTGGACCCAACGGGCACATGAACAGATTAAAAGAGACTTCCATTAATGTTGGATGGATGGACGAGGTAAGGGATGTTGCAAATTAACATCCTCAGGGAGAAAAACCTCAAAAAAGTCTTTGGGGGGGGGTAGTAGCAGCTGCAGGAGCAGTTCCCAAGATCTGACCATCTCACTCCAAAGGGGTAGAAGACATAAAGATCCACCAACCTGAAAGTTTCCCAATTTGTGGCTATCCCTTTCAGCCAATGCTGCATCATGACTGACATCTTATAAGGCTACCTACCCATGAGGCTGCTTGTTCTCCAATTACGAGAGACTAATTTACAACACAAGTGTGAGAAAGCACAGTTAAGGTGGCAAGAAACCAGTGATTTCTTTTGCAGAATGTCTCATCCTAGCAACCACTTCTCATTCCTGTTGTTCCTTCACCATTGCTCTGCACTTGTCTGGAACAGAATAGGTGCCCCACCCCCTGGTGTCCAACAGGGGTACTCATTGTTAGGTACTCATTGTTAGGGGTATTATTCCTGATCCTCTGCAAGGGACAAAGTTGTGTTGATGGTCTTCTTTACAGTCATCTGCTGGAATTTTGCAGATAGGAAGTGGAAGGAAAAGTGCCGTCAATCATTAACAAAACTGTTGGAATCACACTTCTGTTTACAGCAGCTGATGCCTTACAGTAAACCTCCCTAGGTCTAAATGAACTCACAAACAGTTCCTAAACAAACAAGGGTCAAGGCAGCCCTCAGGTGATGAAAGCCAGCTCCCCTTTTGCTTCTGAAAGTGCATTGCAATAAATAAACAAATCAGTAGATAGGACACTGAAACATCCAGGGTTTGGGGTGCAGCGAACCGGTCAGAATCCCCAACATTTAGATAGGAGGTGGTTATTTTGGCCCAAGGCTGTCTATTTGATGTGCTGGTCCTTAGTGACAAAGTGTAATCTCTCCTTACTATGTTCCATCTCTCTAACAGCCAACAACAAGGGTTTCTGAAAAACAAACTAGAAAAAGTAGACGTACTCAGGAAGGGGTAGGTTATTATGGGCTGTAATATGAAGTGCCAGGTGCCAAAGTGGAGTGGAAATGGCGGGGAAGGTGCCACTAAGCAATGTTCCTGCAACTCCTGCTGGCCAAGCTAGTGAGGCTTAATTGACCTCTGGAGATCATGCAAGCAAAGTGTCTGTGTTTACTTGTTTTACTGAGATGCATTAATGCATATTGTTGTATCGATTATATGCAAGTCACACAGCATCTTAATTATGGAGTCCATAATCTGGAAAATAACTGAATCAGATCATGCTCCAGTTAGGGATTGCTCAACCCCCAACTTCTAAGTATTCCTTGGTTGCTTTCCAAAGTTGGTTTGAGCTCTCTCTTTATTACACACACACGGGGGGCAGGGGGCACTGCTAGAGGAACAAGTTTTCTGCTTAAGATTTATAGGTTAAGGTTCTTCTATTGTAAATATTCTTATTTTTTATTAGAGTAATTCAACCCCCTCACCCTTCTCTTCTTTGTGGAACTAATGGAACTCCACAGTCATCAATAAATGACTTTCAGTTTTGCTCACAACTACCTTGCCTCTATGTTTTCTCCCTTGTCCTTTCAAATTTTGTCCTGGGACAATTTTACCGTTAAAACAAAATCCTGGCATTTGTCAGACAACGGGATGCAAAATGTCATTCAGCTGATGCAACGCCAGGGACATCCCAAGGATACAGAAGGACAGTTGCATCAGCACCTGGACTTTGATAGGTCAAGTCACCCTTTTCTCAGGGGCAGTTGTGTCATGGATCCCTGACATGTGCCAGGATGTCAGGCCCTGGGGAAGGGTGGGGGGACCCAAATGGAGCTTTTCTGTTCTTTTTCAACTTATTTGCACACCCACCTATCCAAAGCATGAGCAAAATTGCCTTTGCTGCTCTAAGGTACTAGTATACTGATAGCATATAGATTCACTGTCTTGACACACTGTCTGCTTTCCTAGCTTGGTTATTTTCTGCTAGGGATTTATTTCATAAAATTCATTCACCACTCCATTGCAAAAAAAACACACCAAAAAAACCTTCAAAGCAGATTACAAAAAGAATAAAACAACAAAATTATCAGTAAAAATAGTTAAAAGCAACTATTTAAAACATTCACAAAATAATTAAAATAAATGATAAGCTAAAAAATGGATCATAACACTTGTCAACATTCTACAGATCTGGGCAGGTATGCCTAAACAGAAATGGAAAGTGGACAGTGGAGGTGTCTGCCTGATGACAATAGGCAGGGAGTTCAAAAGTTGTAGGTGCTGCTGTGCAAAACTATCACTTTTTTACAAGTGCATATTGAGTATTATGTGGCACTTGTAAAAGTGTATTGCTAGAGGAATCTTCCTGTGTGGAAGCCATGCCTGTCCATTGCATATATCAATAGCTAGCAGGTAAGGACTGTGGTGCAGCCCCCAGTGGCCCCTGTCTCCTCATGTGCCATGGAGAGGCTACACCACTGGCCTCATGCCCCCGTGGAGTGTACAGAGCTGGACCTGCAGAACCTCTCCACCCAGGCTGACATCCTGGCCACCATAAGAGAAGAGAATCACCATGGGGAAGGGGCTGCTCAGGCAGGGAGCGGAAGTGGGCTGGAGCTGAACCCTACAACTCCTGAATGTCCTGCCTGCCGAGAAGCAGAGGCTTGGCTCTCTCCTCAATCTTTTTCATCCTTCCAAAACCTTACAGTTGAAAGCAGGGAGCAGCCGGTTAGTCACCCAACTTTCTCTGCTCTTGAGCAAAAAACTATAGAAGGGAAAATAAGGGGCTGCCCTTTTTTATTATTAATATTATTCTGGCTGTTTTGATGTGCAGATTTCTATAGGCCACTTGACTGTAAAAAAGCGAAATTGTTTACGAAAAGAGTAAAAGAGGGATTACAGGTAAATACAGTTTAAAAAAGGGACGTGGGTGGCGCTGTGGTCTAAACCACTGAGCCTCTTGGGCTTGCCAATCAGAAGGTCGGCGGTTCGAATCCCTGTGATGGGGTGAGCTCCCATTGCTCAGTGCTTGCTCCTGCACACCTAGCAGTTCGAAAGCACATCAAAGTGAAAGTAGATAAATAGGTACCGCTTCAGTGGGAAGATAAATGGCGTTTCCGTGCGCTGCTCTGGTTCGCCAGAAGCGGCTTAGTCCTGCTGGCCACAAGCTGTATGCCGGCTCCCTTGGCCAATAAAGCGAGATGAGTGACGCAACCCCAGAGTCGGCCACAACTGGACCTAATGGTCAGGGGTCCCTTTACCTTTATAGATCTGAAATTGTTGTTTATGGTGAACATTTTTCTATTTTCTAAATTTCTATTTTTAACTTCTTTTCTTTTTTTCCTTTCTTCCTCTTCTTTTTGAATATTGCTTTATAGATGTACAGTATAAATAATTCTACTCATGTGCATATGTATGAAATTTGTTTCTTTATTTCTTTTCTTATTTGATTTTTTTTGTATTCAATAAAAATTTAATAATAATACAGTAATAAAATAATAAAGAACCAAGCGAGCTTATCCTTCCAGTGTGTGCACGGTAAACCACGCCCCTCGGGAAGCTCAATTAGCATAGCGGCTTGGGCAACAGCCAATGGGAGAGCGGCTTCTCTTATCTCGCCTCTTCGCCTTCCATTGATTGGTCGGTAAGCCCCACCCCTCGGGAAGCGCAGTCCGTATAGAGGCTCAGCCGTCAGCCAATGGGAGAGCAGTCTCTCTCTATTTGTCTCCGCCGCGGGATGCAGCAGTCCAGAGATATATCTTTCGCTGCTGTTCAGGTAAACGTTCAGTCTGACAGGTGTGCGCCTGGGGAGCTGCGCCGCACCACCTTCAGTCTCTGCCTTGGGGTTGGTTCGGTTTGACTCCGAGGGCTGACTCGCTCCTCCTGCGTGTCCCCAGGTAATCGGGTCCGGAGGACGCCCGCGGGTTTACAGAACGTGTGCACGGTGCTCTGGCTGAGGCCCCGTCGGGCGCGTCTAGGCATATCGCCACAGCCTGCCTGCCTGTCTTCGCGTGGAAAGGAGGGACGGGAGTTTTTGGCTTTCCCGGTTTCTAAACGGGGAAAACAAGCCGAAGAAGTATGGGGAGGGAGCGGAGTTGCGGGCAGGCAGGAATTGCTTTCATAGAATCATAGAAATGAACAGTTCGAAGGGACCCAAAGACCAAATAGACAACCCCGTGCAATGCAGGAAAGAAAAAAGGGACGGAGAAAGGAGCCTTCTCGACCTCCCTCACTTTTTAAGAAATGTATCCCGCCCCCGCCCCCTAAAGCTGGGAGCCCGGCCAGGCTTCTTCGGGAATCGAGCCGTGAGCCACAGGCTTGGAGGGCAGCCAGGCGAAGGGGAGATGAAGCGGGTCCACGTGGACTCCTAGAGGCTGGGCTGCTGGGCAAGCCCGGGCTTGCAGCGTTGAGTCGGTGGAGGAGAGGGTCTTAATCTTTCATTCCAGAGAATTTACTGGCTTTCTGGCTCTCTGAACCCGACAGGTCGGATCCTGGAATGACAGATGGTGGGGTTTAGTTGACAACAAAAGCGCTCACCACGAATTTGGAAGCCACGGAAGCAGAGCCAAGAACTGTTTTTTCTTTTTGTTTTTGTGATTGCAAGTTTTTAAAAACTGTTTTAAATATTTTTTTAAACGTAACTTTTATTGACGTTTTAAAATTATTAGAAAAGGAAAATAGAGAGATGATACCAGAAAAAACATGATGTAGCATCAAGGTTTTTTACTAGACCCTTTGGAAACTTAAAGTTTATGGAATCCCCCCCCCCAAATTAAGCTGTCTGCCAAACACTTTGAGTACGAATATTCCAAATTAATACTGCATTTTCCTGTTGTGCCCTACCCTGGGACCTAGGGTGAAGGATGGATAATAAATTAGTAATAAGAACAACATGTCACAGGAACAGTATGAGATAAATCCTCAAGGCCATGATTGTGATACTATATCATGCACTGTAGATTGATAGCTAGATTGGTAGTGACTGAGAACTAAACAATTTTTTCCTCATCTGCAGTAATACGCGTGGTTTTATTTAAACTGCGACCTTCATCTAAATTTAAAAAATGCAACCAATGCATGCTTTGCTCCTTCCTGGCTTGCTAACTAATTTTTTTAAAAATGTATTTCTATTAAAGAGTTATTGGTTTACAAAAGTATGTGCAACGTTTTTTTTCAAGTTACATTTTTTACAGATCAGTTTCATTTGTTGAGACTTGCTAACTAAAATTTGAGCAGGGATTAAGAATGGCACAGCTATTTGTGATGCTGAAAGTTGTTTGTCACAACAAAGTTGCTTTGTATCTCAGGGTGCAAGAGACTTTTTTTGGGGGGGGGGAAATCACCCTGTCTGGGAAAAACCTTAATTCTTAATTCTCCCCTCACTCTTTCCCCTTTTTGTTCTTTCATAGTTTAGATCCTAAGGAACGAAGTTCACAAGGGCGCCTGGCCAGCTACATTTCTGACGGAGGAACTGCTGCGTTGGAGATGAAGAAGGAAGTGTGGCTGATGCTTATGGTGGCGTTTGTTACCAATGTAGGAATCTTCTCAATTTTAACGGCTCCATTGCATAAAACTCTCTTGTGCTGTCAAGCTGAGGGGAGGGCAAGTGTTGGGGTATTTTAATAAAAATATCTAAATCTTCATTATGGGAGTTACAGAGCACAGCCTCTAATGATTGGAGAAATTCATAAGAGCTAAAGCTATCAGTGGGCTAGAATATTGTTTCAGAGGTGATAAGCTCCTGAAAAGCCAAAATAAGGTTGTGGTGCTATAATCTCTCCCCCCCCAAAAAAAACAAAAACCTGGGAATAAGTCCCATTTAAACACAGTGGAACTCACTTCTGAATGGACATGCATTGGATTGCACTGCAAATGTATTAAAAATTTACTAGGAGGACGATGGGGATGAGTACTTTTATATCCCATATTTTCCTCCTAAGGAGCTCAAGGAGGAGTACATGATACTCCCTGTTCCCTCATTTATTCCTCTTATCCCAAGCCTTTGGTTTGTTATCATGCCATGTATTTTTGTGTTTTTAAACATTAAACCACTCTGTGATCCTCTAATGGAGAGCAGTATATCAATTTCATATCCTTACAACAGCCCTGCAATGTAGGTTAGGCTCAGAGGCAGTGTCAACCCAGGGTGTGGCAGCCATGGAAAAGGGAAACATCATTACAAAAGGCCATGAAAAAAAGAAAACTTCCAGTATTACAAATCTTATACAAATATACTGTGGGATCACATTTGAAATGCTCCATACAGTGCCAGTTGCCTCACCTAAAAAAAGGATGTGGTAGAGATGGTTCAAAAAAAGGGCAACCAAAATGTTCAAGGGGATGGAGCGACTCCCCTAGGAGGAAAGGTTGCTATGTTGGGGACCTTTCAGTTTGGAGAAAAGGCAAGTGCAGTGGTACCTCTGGATGCGAACAGGATCCGTTCCGGAGCCCCGTTCACATCCTGAAATAAACGCAACCCGCTTCCGTGCGTCTGCGGGTCGTGATTTGCCACTTCCACGCATGCGTGTGATGTCATTTTGAGCATCTGCGCATGTGCGAGTGGCGAAACCCGGAAGTAACACGCTCCATTACTTCCGGGTCGCCGTGGAGCACAACCCGAAAATGCTTAACCTGAAGCTACTTCAACCCGAGGTATGACTGTAAGAGGCGACATGATTGAAGTTTATAAAATGGTACATGGCATGGAGAAAAGTTCTCTCTCTCTCATAACTCTAGAATTCGTGAGCATCCAATGCAGCTGAATGTTGGAAGATTCAGGACAGATAAAGAGAAGTCTCTTTTCATTCAGCGCATAGTGGAACTATGGAACTCAGTCCTCTAGGAGCCGGTGATGGCCACAAACTTGGATGGTTTTAAAAGAGGATTAGTCAAGCTTCTGGAGGGAGAAGACTATCGGTGGTTAATAGCCATGATGGCTCTGCTCTGCCACCACAGCTGGAGGCAGCAATGCTTCTGAATGCCAGTTGATGGAAACCACGGGAGGAGAAAGGGCTCGTGCTCGTTTCCTGCTGGTGGGCTTCTCATTTGGGCATCTGGTTGGCCACAGGACCAGATGCTGGACTAGATGAGTTATGGCCTGATCCAGCAGGGGTCTTCTTATGCACTTAATGAGCTGGGTGTTCTTGAAGGCAGGACGTGTATAAAGTGCCCCTCTTGCAGGTCTCCAAATAACTGATATTCAGCAGTACCATATCATTATGCACCAAGAGGTGTCTCTTGCAGGGATTTGGAAGTTTCTGTGTGCAACAGGTTCAAGCAGAGGCACTTTGGGAGTTTAGGAAGTTAAGCCCTAAGAAAAAAGGATTGTTGTGCTGGTTTTGATTTGCTCTGTTTGCTGTACAATCACCCAGGTCCCTGGGAAAGATCACAACCTTAAGCTAAGGACAGATCCAAGTTAATGCAGACCTTAAGAGGCTCTTTTCCTTCTGACAGGTACCACAGTTGCCTGCCAACCCACTCAAATGCGACCAGGATGAGTACCTGGACGATCAGGGGAGATGCAGCCCTTGTCTGAAATGTGGTCCTGGAACGGAGCCTTCCAAGGTAATCTGAAGCTGCTCAGGGCTGTCAATAATACCTTCTGGGCTTGGCCCCCTCCACTCTGGGCAGCAGCATAGTGTGGGTTGTCAGCACCTGGGATGGGCAAGTCGGTGCCAGAGTGCTCCATCCCACTGGAGCCAAGTGAGGCTGTGCTGCACCACCTACCCACAAAAGATGGAGCCCAGCTCCCCATGGGCCTGAGTTGCTCTGCCACCCACCAGGGTGGGGCAGATATCCCTGTGGGAGTGCCTGGTTGCACCCCCTCAGAATTTTGTGTCTGGAACCATGCCCCCCACCACCACACACACATTACACCACTGGCTGTGGGATGCCGGTTAGAGATTCCTGGTGTAGAAGATTTTTTTCAATTTTTTCAGTTACGATATTGGAGACAGCTCTTATTTGATTGGAATAGGAACAGCTGCTGGGAATCCACATAAGTGGAGTCCACAGATCTATAAATCACACTGGCTTATACAGAGGCATTCCCTTGAAGGAATGGGTTTCTTTTCCTGGACATCGGTCCCTACATATTTTGTGGTGAGCACATAAGATAAAGTATTGACGTGTTTTCTTTATTCCCCTAAAGAGTCAGGGTCATCCCTTGCTGTGACTGATAAAGGAGAGAGCTTGTTTATGCAATTGTGTCCTTATTTTGCTTTTGCTCAACAGCTCAAGTTTTACGCATTTTAAAATGCTCTCTTTTGAAAGAACAAAAGGGGGGGTTGAGCCAGTTTTAAACTTGCTACACAGAAACCCATTCCTTCACCCTCACCTTAGCTTTGCAAATGGGTAGAAATTAAATCATGTCCTTAGAGGAAATGCAGGTCTGGATTATTAGAGATTATTATTAGATTATTAGAACAAAGCTTCTACTTTCTATTACTGGTGTAATCTGTTAAATGGAAGCATTGTTGTTGTTGTTGTTGTTGTTGTTGTTGTTACTATTACTATTTTTTAAAAAAATTACATTTGTATCCCACCTTTCCTCCAAGGAGCCCAAGGCGGTTTACGTGCTACTTCTCCCCATTTAATCCCCATAACAATGTTTTGAGGTGGCATAGTCTGGGAGGCAGTGACTAGCTCCCAAGGCCATTCCGTGAGCTTCCAGGCTGAGGTAGCATTTGATCCCTGGTGTCCCAGGTCCTAGTCTAGCACTCTAACCAGTATGCCATACCGGTTCAGGTAGAAGACCCCTAACGGATGCAATGAATTTGGATCTATTTACAAACTCTGTTTAACCATGTCATTTACATTGTATAATTATTGAATTTTTATTGGGTAGCAGTAGGTACATGGGGATTGCTTGTTATATGTATTTTAGAAACTGATAGTTAAGAAGAAGGGGAAAAAAACAACTTAGAAAAGGATGCCAAACCTTCTGCCTGTGGCATTTCATCTGGCTCTTTTTTGGTGGGGGGGACACGGTCTCAGGCTGCAGCTACAGTCAATGGCTTTGTTCCTGTGTTTCGACAGGAGTGTGGTTATGGTGAAGGGGGAAGTGCCCATTGTGTTCCATGCCCGCCCAGGAGGTTCAAGAACAACTTGAGCCACCTTGGCTGCAAGCCCTGCGTCTCATGCAGTCTCCTCAACCGGTTCCAGAGACACAACTGCTCCTCCATCTTGAATGCAGCCTGTGGAGAGTGTTTCCCCGGGTAAGTACAAGGTGAACTCCAAGAGCAACACAGGACCTGTGGAACTGGCACGCTTACAAGTCCCACATAATACCCATTTCACATTTGTAAGAATTCAATCTTTTAGTGCAGCAGCACCAAGACTGGAACTCCTTGCCTGTTGACATCAGAGGGACACCTTCACTGTACTCTTTTCAGCAGCAGCTGAAAACATTTTTGTTTAGGCAAAATGTCCAGATGCTTAAAAAGTTGATGTCAGTTTTAAACCATTGGTGGTTTTTTTTTTTGTTTTTTGTTAATTGCTTATTTTTATCTTCTAAATGTTTGAAAGAGTTGGTTTTTTGAAGATAATTATATTGTTCTCTTTGTGAACTGCTTTGAGGTGGTTGTTTTTCCAGTCAAGCAGTGTATAAACTTTATGAAATAAATAAAAAATTCTCACCAGAGTGCCTCTGTCCACCGGTTTGTGTTTTGGTGCAACTGAACATGAACTGGGTGCACGGTGAAGCATTCGTCCAATTGATTCACTGAGCATTGGATGTAGTAATTGTGCATTGGGAACAATTTGAGTGCATGGATTGGTCCTTAGCACTGCAGTGTTGAGGGGACACAGAGAGCCAGTGTTGGAAAAATACTTAAACAGCAGCAATGGGGGCTTTGAGCTAATGACCACTGCACAGAGCGTCCTCTGTCACTCAGGTTCTTTTGGTACATATGGCTCTCATAACTTGTCTGCTCCATTTTTCTTCCTCTTGACAGTTTCTACAGGAAAACTCAAATTGGAGGGCTCAGGGCTCAGGAATGCATTCCTTGCACAAGGCGGACCCCCTCCTCTGAGCTCGATTGTAAGTACCTGCTAGGTCTTTTGCCCATCTATTTCCCCCAATTCAGATTGCAATTTCATCATGCCACTTCATTCTAGAACTGTTTCAACTGCAGCAGCAAGGGGAAAAGTGCTTTAAAAGAAAAAAGTTCCATACTAAGGGGGTGGGGGCAGGGAACGCAAGAATCTACAATCTGTATCAATTTATGCACGTATTTCAAATTTCACATTTTGCATAACTTATTCTGCTGGTCAAGTGAAGAAATCACTGAAGTTTCACTGAGACTATAAATCATGCCCCTGGAAACCCGACTCAGACCATTACCCTCTCGCAAGCTATTTTTGCTGTATCCAAGACCACAGTTTCTACTTGTGTAAAATTATGACAGCGTTGCTTTAGAAGCCCTATCTATTTTCAGGTTACTTGTTGTATTTCTATATCCCATCTTTTTCTCCAAAGAGCTCAAGGTGGCGTATAGACAGTTCTCTTATGAAATCCCCACCACAGCCCTGTGAGGTAGTTTAGTCTGAGAAGCAGTGACTGACCCCCAACGTCTCACGCAGTGAGTTTCATGGCCAAGTGTGGGATATGAAACCTGGTCTTTTCCCAGGTCCTAGTCTGACACTCTAACCACTACGCCACACAGTACGTTGCACTTTATTGGGCCCTAACTCTCCCTTGTCCCCTTCAGTGCAGGGAGTTCCATAGATGGAGCTTGGAGCTTTTAGCAGCTGTTGACCCATAGAAGCAACACATGTCCTCACTGAAAGGGCTTTTTGCCACCGCCTCCTCATGCCTGCAGATTAATGCACCCTGAAGTAAAGAAGCTCATCTCCTGCTGGATGGCCCTGCCAATTCCTTCAATGTTTTGTTTTCTGCAAACCTTCTGAGATGGAGGGCTGCAGTTTTGCAGTCTGGAAAGATGCATCCCCCCCCTTTTTTTTTGCATTTCCTGCCCAGCCAATATGCTTACTGAAGGGCAACTGGTATCTGTGACCTTACAAATGAGCAAACTGAAGCATCTGTGGCTGATCATTCCTCATTGATGTGTCTGCAGGCGACTCCGGAGAGAGCGTAGTGCCGGTGAAGTATCCCATACCTGCTACTCAGGACCTGCTCTTTATTGTGCTGACCCTCACCACATTTATCATCACTGGGTTGGCACTGGTGACTGTCACCATCCTCTACTGCAGACGGATCTGGAAGAACCACTGCCAGCATGGTGAGTCAGTCTTGTGCAGAAACTCTTACTCCCTTCCTTTCCAGTGGCTGCTAGCCATGGTGGCTCTGCCTCCATAGTCAGAGGCAGTCATGCTTCTGAATAGCAGGAGGGTGGGGAGGGTCCCCTTGTGCTCAGGTCCTGCTTGTGGGCTTCCTTTTAGGGGCATCTCGTTGGCCACTGTGAGAACAGGATGCTGGGTGAGATGGGCCACTGATGTGGTTCACTGGTCCTGCTGAGAGGTCTCAAGAGTTTTTTCACTTCTACAGAATATGTTCTATTGCTTTCTCCACTTCCTTTGGCATTTCTTGCTGTTGACTACACCCTTCCCCACTTTTCTGCACCATCCTAGACAGCCCCATAATTGTGTCTCTTACCCCAGGGCTCTTTAAACTTCCTAAGTGTGGTGTGAGCAGGTAGAATGGAGAGTAGCTAGCAGGCTAGTGGGACCCAGAGGACCTATTCTTTGCACATCCCCTCTGGATGCTTGGTGCAAGTTACTTTTTTTTGTCCTCAGTTTCCACATTTGCAAAAATGGGCATAATAGGTGCATATCTCGTTGGGCTGTTGTAAAAATGAAAATGCTAATTGTGAAGTGCTTTCTATAGTTTGAGCAGTGCTTTTCTTAAAAGGTACCCCTGCCCGTACGGGCCAATCTTGCCAGACTCTAGGGTTGTGCGCCCATCTCACTCAAGAGGCCGGGGGCCAGCGCTGTCCGGAGACACTTTCCGGGTCACGTGGCCAGCATGACATCGCTGCTCTGGCGAGCCAGAGCCGCACACAGAAACACCGTTTACCTTCCTGCTTGTAAGCGGCCCCTATTTATCTACTTGCACCCGGGGGTGCTTTCGAACTGCTAGGTTGGCAGGCGCTGGGACCGAACGACGGGAGCGCACCCCGCCGCAGGGATTTGAACCGCCGACCTTTCGATCGGCAAGCCCTAGGCGCTGAGGCTTTTACCCACAGCGCCACCTGCGTCCCTGTGCTTTTCTTATTATGTAATAATAACTGAGTTGTAATAAAAGAAAGGTGCTAGGTTGTCCTCAGTTACATATGTCCTTACTTTATAATAGGTAATTAATTACCAATCACAATAATAACTGGACTGGTTCTTTTCCTTTTTTGACAAGCTCTGTGGATAGTCAGAATGTGTTCAGGTGGGATTAATAAAACACACATTTGTTTTATTTACTGAATTTATATCCCACCCTTTTCTCCATGGAGCTTAAGGTGGCACATGCAGTTCTCCTTCCTCCTCACTTAATCCAACAACCCTGTGAGGTAGGTTAGACACAGAGAGACAGCAGTTGGACCCAAAAGTCTCACCCAGTGGCCTTCACATGGCCGAGTGGGGATTCAAACCTAGATCTCCCAAAAGTCCTAGCCCAGTGCTGTATCCACCACAGTACACTGACTCGCATCATGGCTATGTAGTCAAGGTAAAAAGGTAAAGGACTCCTGGACGGTTAAGTCCAGCCAAAGGTGACTATGAGGTGTGGTCCTCACCTTGCTTCAGGCCGAGGGAGCCGGCATTTGTCCAGGCAGCTTTCTGGGTCATGTGGCCAGCATGACTAAACTGCTTCTGGTGCAACGGAACACCGTGATGGAAACCAGAGCACACAGAAATGCCATTTACCTTCCTGCCACAGCAGTACCTATTTAGCTACTTGCATTGGTGTGCTTTCGAACTGCTAGGTGGGCAGGAGCTGGGACAGAGCAATGGGAGCTCACCCCGTCGTGTGGATTCGAACCGCCAACCTTCTGATCGGCAAGCCCAAGAGGCTCAGTGGTTTAGACCACAGCACCACCCATGTCCCTGGCTATGTAGTATCAGTTCCTCAGTGTATGAAGACTGATATTGCAAGGCTGATATTCCTGTTTTTTTTTAATTCCTTACATCGCTGATGACTAGGTGTGTGTGCTGACAGTATTTTTCCTCTGTATCTTTTTTATCTTTCAAGCGTTCCAGAGTAGTCAGGATTTATCTGACGAGGAGGGGACATTTCAAGATTCTGCCATGTCTGCTCGCTTCCCTTGCCGCACATTCCTGTCCAACACCTGCTCTGTAGCCATCAAGCGTTTGAGTCCTTGGCAAAGGCCACAGGAAGGTAATACTCTAATGGTGATGCTCTGAGGCCCAGAGGGGGTGGGCGGTGAAGGAATTGTGGTTTCTCCATCTCTCTCTCTCTCTCTCTCTCTCTCTCTCTCTCTCTCTCCGTCTCCGCTTCTTTAAGCAATATAGTTCATGTATCCAAATACTTAGGATCTTATTCAAACACAGGAATCTAGCATGCCTAACAATAGAACATTCGGACATCCAATGTAGCTGAATGTTTGAAGATTCAGGACAGATAAAAGAAAAGGGGCTTCTTCATGCTACACAGTTGAACTTTGGAACTCCCTGCCACAGAAGGCAATGGTGGTCACCAACTTGGATGGTTTAAAAAAAAGGATTGGGCAAATTCATGGAGGAGGAGAAGGCTATCAATGGCTACTAGCCATGATGGCTGTGCTCTGCTGCTACAGTTGCAGGCAGCAGTGCTTCTGAATTCCAGTTGCTGGAAGCTGCAAGAGAGGAAAGGCTTCTTGTGCTCAGGGACTGCTTGTGAGTTTCTCTTTGCGGCATCCACTGTGACGACAGGACACTGGACTAGATGGGCCATTGGCTTGATCCAGCAGGGCTCTTATGACCAAAAGATTGGCAGGATCATGAGGGTGACATGCAAATGACAGCCTGCGAGAGAAGCCAACAGTAATTTGGCCTTCTTAGTTTAGAACAGGGGTGCACAACCTGCGGCCCTCCAGATGTTGTTGGACTACACCTCCTATCATCCCTGACCACATGCTATGCTGGCTGGGGCTGATGGGAGTTGTAGTCCAGAAAGATCTTGCTGGGGGGGGTTGCAGTTTGTGTACCCCTGGATTAGAAGAAGCTCAAGGAAAGGGAAGCATGATAAGGAAGACCCATTGCTTTGAATAGCTGCTTTTTTTCATTTGCAAAGGTACAGACGAGACTGTTGCCAATTTGGGAAGGCAGAGGGAAAATCCATTGGTGTTGAGAGGAGGAATTAGCTACATAGAGATCCATGAGGTGATTTGCCTTCTCCTCTTCCCTTTCCTGGGAGACCAGGGAGAGGTGGCTGTAGGAAACCAGTGCCTTTAAATTGAGAGATTTGCAGAGGGGGGTGGGGGGGTCCTAATTTCAACAGCATTTATGAAAGCCATATTCAAATACCTTAAGAGCTGCCGCATGGAAGAGGGAGCAAGCTTATTTCCTCTTGCTCTGGAGGAGAGCATGCAAACCAATGGATTCAAATTACAAGAAAGGAGATTTTGACTAAAGACCAGGAAGAATTTTCTGAGGGCAAGAGCCATTTGACAATGGAATGGACTCCCTTGGAAGGTGGTGGACTGTCCTTCCTTGGATGTTTTCAAGTGGAAGTTGGGTGGCCCTCTGTCAGGGAATCTTTAGCTGTGATTCCTGCATTGCAGGAAAAAATGGGACTGCATGAGCCTTCGGGGTCCCAACCTTACAGTTCTATAATTCTAAACAACATCTTGCTCCATGTTCTTAAATTGTCTCTTTCCCCCTCCCCTTGATTTTTAAAGGTCTGGCTGAAGCTGTCCACTTTGTCTCAAGATCTCCTGGGGTTCACTGGCCCTTCCAGGAGCCTGACCGGGACTTTGCTCAGGTGATTCCTGCCAACAACCAAGCTCCTCTGGGCAGGAGCGTTGCGGAGCACCAACACTTTTTCAGGGACTCTGGCTACAGCGACTATTCCTTGACAGACCTTAGACAGGACGGTGGTGCAGCCCCCAGTGCCCCCCCAGTGGCCCCTGTCTCCTCATGTGCCACGGAGAGGCTACACCACTGGCCTCATGCCCCCGTGGAGTGTACAGAGCTGGACCTGCAGAACCTCTCCACCCAGGCTGACATCCTGGCCACCATAAGAGAAGAGAATCACCATGGGGAAGGGGCTGCTCAGGCAGGGAGCGGAAGTGGGCTGGAGCTGAACCCTACAACTCCTGAATGTCCTGCCTGCCGAGAAGCAGAGGCTTGGCTCTCTCCTCAATCTTTTTCATCCTTCCAAAACCTTACAGTTGAAAGCAGGGAGCAGCCGGTTAGTCACCCAACTTTCTCTGCTCTCGAGCAAAAAACTATAGAAGGGAAAATAAGGGGCTGCCCTTTTTTATTATTAATATTATTCTGGCTGTTTTGATGTGCAGATTTCTATAGGCCACTTGACTGTAAAAAACCGAAATTGTTTACGAAAAGAGTAAAAGAGAGATTACTGGTAAATACAGTTTAAAAAAGGGACGCGGGTGGCGCTGTGGGTTAAGCAACAGAGCCTAGGACTTGCTGATCAGAAGGTCAGCGGTTGAATCCCTGTGATGGGGTGAGCTCCCGTTGCTCAGTGCCTGCTCCTGCCAACCTAGCAGTTCGAAAGCACATCAAAGTGCAAGTAGATAAATACCGTATTTTTCGCACCATAGGACGCACTTTTTCCCTCCTAAAAAGCAAGGGAAAATGTGTGTGCGTCCTATGGAGCGAATGCAAGCTTTCGCTGAAGCCTGGAGAGTGAGAGGGGTCGGTGCGCACCGACCCCTCTCGCTCTCCAGGCTTCAGGAAGCTATCCGCTAGCCGTGGGAGTCCCAGCTCTCCCACGGCTAGCGGAGCGCTGCATTAATCCCGAAGCTTGGGGCGTGCGGAGCTCAGCGCACCCCAAGCTTCTGGGTACCGGCAAGGTCTCCGCTAGCCGTCAAGGAGACCTTGCCGGCACCCAGAAGCTCGGGGCGCGCTGAGCTCCGCACGCCCCAAGCTTCGGGATTAGCGCTCCGCTAGCCGTGTCTAGGCTGCGGATAGCAGCCTGCTTCCCGGAGCGTCGGGCACCCTGAAAGCAGAGCGCCCGGCGCTTCGGGAACACATCCGCAGCGTGGGGACCCTTGCAGGAGTTCCCCGCAAGGCTCCCCACGCTGCGGATAGCAGCCTGCCGCCCAGCGCGAGGGGCGCCCTGAAGCAGAGCGCCCCTCGCGCCGGGCAGACATCCGCAGCGTGCGGAGCCCTGCAGCAGTTCCCCACAGGGCTTCCCATGCTGCGGATAGCAGCCTGCTTCCCGGAGCGTCGGGCGCCCTGAAAGCAGAGCGCCCGGCGCTTCGGGAACACATCCGCAGCGTGGAGAGCCTTGCAGGAGTTCCCCGCAAGGCTCCCCACGCTGCGGATAGCAGCCTGCCGCCCGGCGCGAGTGGCACCCTGAAGCAGAGCGCCCCTCGCGCCGGGCAGACATCCGCAGCGTGCGGAGCCCTGCAGCAGTTCCCCACAGGGCTCCCCACGCTGCGGATAGCAGCCTGCTTCCCGGAGCGTCAGGCGCCCTGAAAGCAGAGCGCCCGGCATTTCGGGAACACATCCGCAGCGTGGAGAGCCTTGCAGGAGTTCCCCGCAAGGCTCCCCACGCTCCGGATAGCAGCCTGCCGCCCGGCGGGTGGGGCGCCCTGAAGCAGAGCGCCCCTCACGCCAGGCATACATCCGCAGCGTGGGGAGCCCTGCAGCAGTTCCCCGCAAGGCTCCCCAAGCTGCGGATAGCAGCCTGCCGCCCGGCGGGTAGAGCGCCCTGAAGCAGAGCGCCCCTCGCGCCAAGCATACATCCGCAGCGTGGGGAGCCCTGCAGCAGTTCCCCGCAAGGCTCCCCAAGCTGCGGATAGCAGCCTGCCGCCCGGCGGGTGAAGCGCCCTGAAGCAGAGCGCCCCTCGCGCCAGGCATACATCCGCAGCGTGGGGAGCCCTGCAGCAGTTCCCCGCAAGGCTCCCCAAGCTCCGGATAGCAGCCTGCCGCCCGGCGGGTGGGGCGCCCTGAAGCAGAGGGCCCCTCACGCCAGGCATACATCCGCAGCGTGGGGAGCCCTGCAGCAGTTCCCCGCAAGGCTCCCCAAGCTGCAGATAGCAGCCTGCCGCCCGGCGGGTGAAGCGCCCTGAAGCAGAGCGCCCCTCGCGCCAGGCATACATCCGCAGCGTGGGGAGCCCTGCAGCAGTTCCCCGCAAGGCTCCGCAAGCTGCGGATAGCAGCCTGCCGCCCGGCGGGTGGGGCGCCCTGAAGCAGAGCGCCCCCCGCACTAGGCAGACATCAGCCAGCCCCACAAGCTCAGGGGACAGCAGGGAGGCGCAGCGCCACTATCCCGCTGTTCCTCGACCTCGTTCTGTTTCCCTGACCTGCTTTTGGGGGGGAAATAAAGGGAAAAAATTTTTCCTTTATTTCCCCCCCATAAAACTAGGTGCGTCCTATGGTCCGGTGCGTCCAATCGTGCGAAAAATACGGTAGGTACCACTCCGGAGGGAAGGTAAACGGCGTTTCCGTGCACTGCTCTGGTTCGCCACAAGCGGCTTAGTCATGCTGGCCACATGACCTGGAAGCTGTACGCCGGCTCCCTCGGCCAATAAAGCGAGATGAGCGCCACAACCCCAGAGTCGGTCACGACTGGACCTAATCGTCAGGGGTCCCTTTATCTTTACCTTACAGTTTAAAAATAATATGGAAAATAATCAGTGATAAAATGAAATCCAGATTAAAGCTCATCTCAGCATTCTGCACATCAGGGTAGGCTTGTGTAAACAATGTTTCTAGTAGTACCTGCTTGATGTAAATAGGCAGGGAGTTCCAAAGTGTAGATGTTGGCACACAAAAGGATAGATTTCAGGCAAATGCAGAGAAGTATTTTGTGGCCCCTGTAACAGTTCTGGTTCTGCAAATGGCAATGGCTGCGTGGGTGAATTAATGAAATCTTTATTGCTAAAATCTATAAGCCGTTACAATTGGTCACAATGTGTAGGATACAATTAATTAATTTAAAACTGAACAGCAACAACAGCAAAGCAAACATACAATAATGCAAAAATCACATTTGCGTATGTTAAGCACTCTGCTTCTCACTTCCCCTTATGATACTTGTGTTGGCGCTAAGCTCTCAACTTACTTGCAGTCAAGGCAAATTATGCAACCTGTGCAGTAATAAATACGTTATTGCCAGCCAGCAAAATAGATATTTGCTCAAGGGGAGGTCGGTTGGAGAGAGAACAGAGAATGCAATCAAGGATTTTTTTTCTAGGGGATGTATATAAAGAGCATCATAACAAATAGTGTTGAATATCCTCCACATCTCCTGACTCACAGACGCAGAGTCTTTGGTACACAGGGGTGTTATTAAATCTTCCCTTTAGATATGCGGAGGGCATACACTGAAAACACAAAACTGTAAATGCTTTTTTAATTAGTGCCAGCATGAGATAAATAAAGTATTGCTCCAGCCCAAAAGATGTTTTATATATTGGATACCAGGATGAATATGCCACCTGGGAAAGTGAATGAAGGTCCCTCCATTTAGAGACTAAATAAAAATGTTCTTTGATGAGTTGTTTGACTCAGTTAGAGGCAAAATTTGATAGGGAGTCCACATTAAACCCGTAATAATGGAGACTCTTACTGACTGAGTTTGCTCAAGAGCTTCGGGGCATAGATTGCAATTGCTCTAGGAAGCATTTTTTAGGGAACCTAGTATTACTCATGCTAGCCAACTTCAGCCAGTATAGGGCTAGCGCTACATGCACACTGGTTTGTGAGGAAATTAGCCCTGCTTCAGCTCTTAAAAAGGGGGCAGGTATACCTTTGGGAATAATCAACAGTGATTTCAGGAAAGGGTTCTGCACCACTTCTAACGGGAGGGCATTACTATATCTATATCCCCAAATCTCTGCACCATGCAATAATTGTGACACAATCTTCTTTTGAAATACCTCAACTGTGGGGGCAACTAAACTCCCGCCCCTGACCTCTGCAAACCGTAATAAAGAATGAATCAAGTGAGAGGATTTCAGTTTAGCTGCGAGGAGGTGTGGCTTCCAGGAGAGTTTTGAATTAAAACCCAAGCCCAGGTATTTATAATAGCATTGTTGTTCAATGGGTTTATTGTCCGAACTCCATTCGTGAGGTTTTCTCTTCTTCCCCAAAATCACCACTTTAGTTTTAGAATGCTTGACTGTTAACTGGGTTGAGCGGGTGTACATGGTGTAAGGTGATCGTGCACATACATTAGTCCTTAGCTGGTATGGCCTTCATATAGTACTTAAATACTTCTTTTCCACTTTTCTAAAGTTGTGCGCAAAGCAAATAATGGTCCAAAGCTTAACAGCACATAAGCAACTTTGCAGGAGGTTGGACTAGATGACTCTACAGTTCTGTGAGCATCTCAGTCATTATACCTGTTAACGCTATGAATGTCAGTTGGGTTAGGCACATACAGAAGTGTTTTGGGAGGCAAGCCTGCTCCTGATTTCCCACTCCTACAGGTGCCACATAGCACCCACTCTGCCTCTGTAAGAATGGATGCTGACTAGGGACAGAGGAGAAACTTGATTTAAAGGTCAACCTGCCTGATCCACAGGTTTCAGAACCAAAACAGCCATCCTCCAAAACCTGGACTTCTCCAAAGTCTGCAGTTCTCTAGCCAAGTGATGCGTGCAAAAATGCACATTCCAGCACGAATCATGAATAAAATTGTGTGTATTGGTGAAAGCCAGGTGCAAAAATGCATTGTACTAAAAGGAAACTGTTCTGCAATAACGTGTTAGTCATATACAAATGGGAATAATGGGAAGAATTTGCACTAAAACACTTGAGTTTTCCTGAGGGGTGTGTGTGTGTGTGTGTGTGTGTGTGTGTGCGTGCGCGCACACACACACACACACACACACACATTCAAAGTGTTGAGAACTGAATTTGGAAAAAAGAGGAAACTGAATGAAACCCAAAAAGATTTGCCCACCCCTAGTGCTGACAGAGTGATGTTGACAAGATTGCCCTGCAAGTATTTCCTACTAGCTGACTTGTTTATTTTTCCCCTTATCAGGAGAGTGATGTTTGGAACCTCGCAGTCAAGACTGACGATGCCACACAAGGTGAAGAAGTGTGCACCATTTGCCAGCAGTAGTCCAGTTGTGCTCCAATGTGACATCAGAGTCAGTGTGTCATACTAGGAGCTAGGAAAGACCAGGGCTGAATTCTCCACTTGGACATGAGGCTCATGTCATGAGACAAAGGTTCTTGAGAGCAGAATAAGTAACGCAAGGCCTACAAGGCCTACACAATCATTCAAGCCTGAAAACTGATAATTGTTAAAATCTAACTGCTGAATCATTGTGATTAATCTACAGGATCACTCATTCTCTCTATAAATTTGTAGCCTGTTTGCAGGCAGGCCCAGTGTAGTATCTGTGCTGTTGTTGAAATGTGTTGCTGTGAATGTAATTCTAAGGCAGGCAGAGTGGCCCCAGGCCTCTAGTTAATCAGTAGCTAAGACTATGCCTCTGTGAAGAGTCAGATAGCTACTTTGAGCTCTCTGTGTATGCTCTTTAACCATGCTGTTTATGAACAAGTTAATTTTCTTCAGTAAAGTTTAATTCTGTTTATGAAGAAGACTCTGCGTTGATTAATTTACCGCTGTGCGACAGTTCGCTAGGTGGCCCTGGGTGCCAGTCACTCACCCTGAGCCTAAGCTGCCTCACACGGTAGTTGTGATGATTAAATGAGGAGGGGGAGAACCATGTACAGTACACTACACTGAGCTCCCTGGAGGAAAGGTGGGATGATAATAAATGATTAAATCTCCAATAAGGAGCACCCGCAGTAAAACATTGCAGTGTGTAATGCTTCTATTCAGGGCTCCAACCACTTCCTCTCCCTTCAGTTTTTGTTCCTCTCCCCCAAATGCAGTCAGTCAACAATCTGTGGCCATTGAACATGCTCAGACCACCTTGGGGTGCTTTTCTGAGCAGGGGAGCACTTCCCCTTATTTCCACCCTCCCTCCAAAAAGTACTTTAGCGTGGCAGCATCTTGAGAATTCCCTGCCTACTCTTTTTGGTGCCAGCTAAAAACGTTTAGGAAAGCCTGTTGAGAAATTTAGAAAGCTGTGGACAAGATCAAAGACCGTAGTTTCAGAGTATCTTTGCAGTTGCCATTTTCTTATATAAATTCAGCTGTGTATGTGCAATTCTGCGGCACTTTTTAAAAAAGGGATTTGCAAAATATTTCGGTGTATCAAGTAATATCTTAAGCGTTGACTGTTCACCCAATTTATTCCACTGTTTGTACAGGATCTGCACTCTCATTTTATTGGTTGGTTCATTTACTGGGATTCTGGAAACAATAATACCCCCCTTAAAAAAAATCCCCAAAGGGCAAAGATAAATCCTCTACTTTTAGTTGGATCCCCTAATTGTTATATTGATTGAGAGAGATGGAAACTATACCTTGCCTCAGAACCAGAAATGCAGTCTTTTGATAAGGTTCATATATTATCATGCACGATCATTGCTGTTCATTTTTAGGAAACCTTACAGCTTCAATATCATCCTTCTCCTATGGGTTGATACATGTCCTCAGAGTATTTCCTCAGCTCCCTTGCAATTCCCCTCAGATTTAAAACCATAGGATAAAGTATAAGATCAGAAGTGGGCCCCTGATGCCATGAAGCTTAACTGGAGTCATCTGGTTAATTTGCACCAGGAAGGAAGCAAATAATCCAGACTCAAGGATGGCACAAGACTAGCCTGGCTGCTCCCCCTGCTACCAGTATCTTAGAAGGACCATATCACAGCCAGCTTTCTCTGACCATCTCCTGGCACCACCACAACCCTGTCACACACATGTATGCAATTAAATTTGCACCCCCAACCCCATGCCTTTTAAGCTATCCCTGCAAACTGCTGTCTCCAAGCACTGAGATTCGCTCTGAAAAAGATGACCTGTTCTCAGTATCCTCATCTACATCCCCTGTAAGCTTGCCCATAGAATCATAGAGTCGTAGAGTTGGAAGGGCCAGGAATATGCAACTGTCCAATACAGGGACCGAACCTGCAACCTTGGCATTATCAACACCACGCTTTAGTACGGTGTATGTGCATATTGAACTGTGCGATTACGAATATAGGGTCCACAAGGAATTACCCTCTTCTTCGAGAAAGAGAAGTTAAAAGCAGGTTCTTTTGTGAAGTGATTATCTCTGGAAATGCTCTCTTCTCAAAGGATCTGGGCAGCCTGTGGTTTTTTACTTGAAAGTAACTCCAACTGACTTCAATAGGGCTGGGTAGGTGTCTGCAACCAACCATGTCTTGGGCCCTCTGTACTTTCGCAGTGCCAGCAAAATAAAATACCTGTCTATGTGATGCTGACACAAAAGCTTTGCACATATACAATGTAAAATAAAAATAAAAATTCACTGTCTTCTCCTTTCTACCTCCCTCTCTCCCAACTTCTCTTTCCCAGCAACCCCATATTGTCTAGAACAGTAATGTCTCACCCCAAATATGACTATTTTGTGTGAATGATTCAATAACCTGAAAACAGACTATATGGTGTGTGTGTGTGTGTGTGTGTGTGTGTGTGTGTGTGGTAGGAATGTGCATGGTCACAGTTAGTGTCACTGGCAAACAAGTAATTTGGCAATGGATGCTGCAATCAGATGGTGACTGAGATCTGACAGATTCTTTTAAAAAATACGTATATAATATTTTTTAGTTTTCCATTTTGTAACATTTAAATACACCCTTATTTCCCACAGTAAATTTTGCTCTTACGAGCTATTCGACTTCCCTCCCTTCCTCCTCATGGTTACCATATTTCCTTTCTGTGTCATAGCATTTGTATTTTTTCCTACTTATCTTTCATCATTTCAATTGTCACATTTTTACATAAATATAAGAACGTATGAATCATAATCATTACAAGTCTTTTAGATCAGTCCTGCTAGTGTTGTTAATTGTTTGTAATTGTCCTTCAAATATTGTACAAATTTACCCAAGTCCTTTCGGAAAGCTTGATCACGCTGGTTTCAAATTTTCCCGGTCAGCTTCGCCAATTCTGCATATTCCATCATCCTCGTCTGCCACTCTTCAATCGTTGGTAATTCTTGTTGTTTCCATTTTGGGGCTAAAAGAGTCCTTGCTGCCCTAGTTGCATACATAAACAGTTTTTGATCTCTCTTCGGGATTTATTCACCTGTTGTTGTTGTTGTTTAGTCGTTTAGTCGTGTCCGACTCTTTGTGACCCCATGGACCAGAGCACACCAGGCACTTATGTCTTCCACTGCCTCCCGCAGTTTGGTCAAACTCATGCTGGTAGCTTCGAGAACACTATCCAACCATCTCGTCCTCTGTCGTCCCCTTCTCCTTGTGCCCTCCATCTTTCCCAACATCAGGGTCTTTTCCAGGGAGTCTTCTCTTCTCATGAGGTGGCCAAAGTATTGGAGCCTCAGCTTCAGCATCTGTCCTTCCAGTGAGCACTCAGGGCTGATTTCTTTAAGAATGGATAGGTTTGTTCTTCTTGCAGTCCATGGGACTCTCAAGAGTCTCCTCCAACACCATAATTCAAAAGCATCAATTCTTTGGCGATCATCCTTCTTTATGGTCCAGCTCTCACTTCCATACATCACTACTGGGAAAACCATAGCTTTTACTATACGGACCTTTGTTGGCAAGGTGATGTCTCTACTTTTTAAGATGCTGTCTAGGTTTGTCATTGCTTTTCTCCCAAGAAGCAGGCATCTTTTAATTTCGTGGCTGCTGTCACCATCTGCAGTGATCATGGAGCCCAAGAAAGTAAAATCTCTCACTGCTATCATTTCTTCCCCTTCTATTTGCCAGGAGGTGATGGGACCAGTGGCCATGATCTTCATTTTTTTGATGTTGAGCTTCAGACCATATTTTGCGCTCTCCTCTTTCACCCTCAATAAAAGGTTCTTTAATTCCTCCTCACTTTCTGCCATCAAGGTCATGTCATTTGCATATCTAAGGTTGTTGATATTTCTTCCGGCAATCTTAATTCCGGCTAGGGATTCATCCAGCCCAGCCTTTTGCATGGTGAATTCTGCATATGAGTTAAATAAGCAGGGAGACAATATACAGCCTTGTCGTACTCCTTTCCCAATTTTGAACCAATCAGTTGTTCCATATCCAGTTCTAACTGTAGCTTCTTGTCCCATGTAGAGATTTCTCAGGAGGAGGGCAAGACCCCGAGGTGGCTATCACCGGTAGAGGCCAAGGCTAGAAAAAGACCCAATATGGAGGCCTACTGGCCAAAATATTGGGAAATAATTGCAAAAACTGGAGACAATTGGAGGCTACAGAGCCAAGACAAGTTAAAAGATAAGGTGCGGGACTGGTTACACTATGCTCAAATTCAAGAGGTGTTTAAAATGGATAAAAAAGTTGGTTTCCAAGTGGAAAAATCGAAATTAGAGACAGAATTGTTAGAACCAAAAACTAAGACATTATCGAAAATGTATAACTTGCTGCTTAAGTGGAATACACAGGATGAGACAGTCAAATCTGCCATGATAAAATGGGCACAGGATATTGGACACAACATTATGTTTGAAGACTGGGAAAGGTTATGGAACACCGGTATGAAGTTTACGGCATGTAATGCCTTGAAAGAAAACATTATGAAAATGATATACCGGTGGTACATGACCCCAGTCAAGTTAGCTAAGATATACCATCTGTCTGATAATAAATGTTGGAAATGTAAGGAGGCAGAAGGGACATTCTTTCACCTCTGGTGGACCTGCCCAAAAGTGAAGGCCTACTGGGAAATGATTCACAATGAGTTAAAAAAGGTATTCAGGTATACCTTCCCTAAGAAACCAGAGGCCTTCCTACTGGGCATGGTGGACCAGAGGGTGTTAAAGAAGGACAGAACTTTGTTTATGTACGCTACCACAGCAGCAAGAATTCTTTTTGCAAAGCACTGGAAGACTCAAGATCTACCCACGTTGGAGGAGTGGCAGACGCAGTTGATGGACTATATGCAACTGGCTGAAATGACTGGCAGAATCCGAGATCTGGGAGAGGAAACAATGGAAGAGGACTGGAAAAAATTTAAGGACTATTTGCAAAAACATTATAAGTTGTATGAATGTTAAGAAATATGCACGATTAGGAAATTTTTGCTTTAGCAACTTGATTAGGTAAACTGAAAATTAAGACAAGAAAAAAGAGGTGGTAATATGAATCAACTTTATTATGTTAATTTTAAATGTACAAAGTTTGGGATTTGAGATTGTGAATTCGGAAACATAATAACTGAAAGATACAGTAAGTTAAGAAACAAGGTAACAAATTGCTGAAACTTTTATTGCAAAGAACGCAGGGTCTGGAGGATGTGGGGAAGTCCACCTGGAATATTGAAAAAACTATTGAAAATTGGACAGAAATAACCTTTTTTCTCTCTCTATTACTCTTTCTTGTATTTGTTTCTTGTATTTTTTTATTGTTATCTTGTGTTTATGAACCTAAGAAAAGAAACTCAATAAAAAATATTTTAAAAAAAAAAGAGAGATTTCTCAGGAGACAGATGAGGTGATCATGCACTCCCATTTCTTTAAGAACTTGTCATAGTTTGCTGTGGTCGACAC